TCCGTCCTCCTCCTCCTCTCCTCCTCCTCTCCTCCTCCTCCTCCTCCCTCCTCCCTCCCTCCCTCCTCCCTCCTCCCTCCCTCCCTCCTCCCTCCTCCTCCTCCTCCCTCCCCCTCCCTCTCCTCCCTCTCCTCCCTCCCTCCTCCCTCCCTCCTCCCCTCCCTCCCTCCTACCCTCCCTCCTCCCTCCTCCCTCCTCCTCCTCCTCCTCCTCCGCTTCCTCCTCCTCCTCCTTCGCCCCCTCCTCTTCTTGCCGGGACCAAGCTGGAGGGGGCCTCGTACGGCCCAGCGATGGCTTTCGAGATTGCGCACGGTAGCCCGTGACCGTTTCCAGCATGCTCCCAGGAGTCCAAACGACAGTTCTAGACGGCCACGCATACTCGCCCCAAAGCGGTTCTAGTCTTAAACGCACAGACATGTTCAATGATGATGACCTTCACACACAAACTCCTTCACTGCTGGCTTCCATTGCTCCGCCTCCCGCGTCATGCCTCCTGCTGGCCCGTGGACGTTCCCCCCCCCACACACAAGGTGCAGTTGGCTCTCTTTGCCCGACGGCACGCTCGTCCCCTTCTCCACTCACCTCTTTTGTCCCGCCCCATTGATGACCTTCACTCACAAACCTAGAAGTGTTCAATGATGCCCTTCTCGCTCCTCCTCCTCCTCCTCCTCCTCCTCCTCCTCCTCCTCCTCCTCCTCCCCTCCTCCTCCTCCCCCTCCCCTCCCCTCCCCCTCCCCCTCCCCCTCCCCCTCCCCCTCCCCCTCCCCTCCCCCTCCCCCTCCCTCCCCTCCCCCTCCCCCCCCCCCTCCCCTCCCCCTCCCCTCCCCCTCCCCCCCCCCCCCCCTCCCCCCCCTCCCCCTCCTCTCCTCCTCCTCCCTCCTCCTCCTCCTCCTCCTCCTCCTCCTCCTCCTCCTCCTCCTCCTCCTCCTCCTCCTCCTCCTCCTCCTCCTCCTCCTCTCCTCCCCCTCCCTTCTCCTCCTCCTCCTCCTCCTCCTCCTCCTCCTCCTCCTCCTCTTCCTCCTCCTCCTCCCCTGCCTCATCCTCGCCCAATATCGCCCAAGGTAGCCCCCATACAGGTCCATGACGGCTCCACAACGGAGGGCCTCCAAAGCCCTTGCAATGCATCCAACAAGGTGGGTGTCTTCCAGGCGCCCCCCCTTCGCTCCAAGCCAAACTGCGGCAAGCTCGCGCCGCGTCGCCCTCGGCATTGGCTTCTGACACCATGGGGATCGCTCCGCCTGGAACGATCGGCGGATTCCGAAACGTTAGATCCTTCAACATCGACCGATCCTGGGTCGCCAGGAAGCAATCGACGTTGAACGCTGGCGGCGGGGTCGCCGCCAGTCAATACGACGCGAACCTACCGTAACATGCTAACAACGACGATGGCCAATCGGGGCACCCGTGGGAAGCTGCTAGGCCAAGATGGCTCGGACATTGCTCCAAGCGCCTTAACACGGCCTCCGAGATGGCGCGAAATAGTCCCGTATGTGTCAGGCTAGACTGCAGTCTGCCTACAAGAGACCCCAAGGCGGCTCCAAATGGCCTCAAAGCCTCCCAAGGACGCCCCCAAGAGGCCCGAATCATGCTGACACCTAGAAGTGTTCAACGCTTGGTTTCCCTTCTCGCCTTTTCGCTCCGATGGGAATTCTGAGGCAGCACCCAGAGCGCCCAAGAGCGCTCCAGGACTGTCCCAGGATAGCCTCCAAAGCAACGGTTCTGTATCCGACGGTGTGGGCGCATTAAGACCCCGCCTTCGATGAGAGCCAAGCTTGCTCACTACCATTTAACTTGCTGAGAATGACGTTGACCTCTTGAGGCCTCCGTGGGAGGCTTTTTGGGATTAGGTGGCTCGAAGATTGCCCCAGACGCCTCATGACGGCCTCCACGATGTTGCAACATGGTCCCATGTGTGTCATTGTAGCCTCCGACATGCCTCCAGGAGGCTCCAAAACGACCTCGCAATGAAACCCCCGATATGCCATAACTGTTCAAACGCCTACCGTGTTTGAACGCTGTCCGGCTTCTCGCCGTGTTGCTCCCGATGGCAATTCAGAAGTCTCAATGTGGCCGCGAGATTGCCCAAGGTAGGGGAACGAATAATGACATAAACATAAAACCTCGCAGGTCCGCGCGGCTTTCTCGGATCGGCGCTGGAGAGCGTTTCTTGATCATCGGCGATGATGGGCGTCATTGGGGGGGGACGGGCGGGGGTCTGACGTAACGTCCCCCCCCCCGCCGTGCGGCTCCGGCACCACAGCCGCGCCCGCGCTCACGACGACGATGAGCGACGAGCGACGAGCGACGACGTCGACGACGACGACGACGCGAGCAGCATGTAGGTGGCGATCTGCCCCACAGCGCCTGTGTACACCACAGTGCTCGCGTGCACCACAGCGCTTGTGTACACCACAGCGCCTGCGTACACCGCAACAGCCGTGTGCAACGCAGCACAGCGAATGTGTACACCGCAGCAGCCATGTGCAACACAGCGCCTGTCTGCACCACAATGATTGCGTGCACCGCAGCGCCTGTGCACAACACAGCGCCTGTCTACACCACAGCATCCGCGTGCAACGCAGCGCTGGTGTGCACCAGAGTGCCTGCGTGCACAGGACAGGTAGAAGGAGCATGTCGGTGAGGATTGGATTTGCTGCGGACAGCTAAACGCCGCCACGCCAGGGAAGTGCTGAGAATAGAATGCGACGTTTCTCCCTCCGCCCTCCTCCACCTCCGCCTCCTCCTCCTCCTCCTCCTCCTCCTCCTCCTCCCTCACCCTTCCCCCCATGTCGTGCACGTGCGCGTCTCACCGTGCATCGCAGAATGGTCTATTCACTGGTGCCGTGCTGAGTGCACGCAGGCATTGTGTACACTGGTGCTGTGTTGCACGCGGCTGATGTGGTGTACGCAGGCGCTGTGGTGTATACAAGCGCTGTGGTGCCAGCAGGCACTGTGGTACACACTGGCGCTGTGACGCACGCGGCTGCTGTGGTGTATATAGACGGTTTGGTTAACACAGGCGCTGTGGTGCAGATCGCCACCGACATACTGCTGCTACCCGTCCTCGGTGATTCCTAGGCATTCCCAGACGCCGCCAGCGCGAAACGTGACGTCATCGGCCCCCTCCCCCCCCCCCAATGATTGCCGTCATCGGCCCGGAGTGGAAAAACAGGCTCCTGCTGCGTCCGCGCGCACGACGACGATGAGTGACGAGCGACGACGACAACGACGACGACGACGACGACGACGTCGACGACGACGACTGCGGACCAGACTCCTATGCGGACACCTATGCGGATCACGATGCGCACGGCGGTAATGCCCGTAACGCACTGGGTGGGGGAACGTTAAGTCATTGGGGGGGGGGGCCGGGGGCCATGACGCCCGTCATGCCTCAAGCATTAAAAAATTGCCTCCTGGACCCCCCTCCCTGGCGCGCGGAGCGCGCCAGGGGCGGTGCTGGAGGCGCCGCCAGGGGGCCCCAGCGCCGATGCGAAAAATCCGCGCGGACCTCCGAGTTTTTGATGTTTGTGTCATTTTTCCTTCCCCATACAAGGGAGCCCCAATTTGGACGCCCGAAATGGGTACGGAAAAAATGGGTACAATGCCCAACAACAGATGTTGTCCCAAACCAATAGCGGCCGCTGTTGGGCAGGCGGCCTTCTGTCTCGAATGGACACAGGCCGCGGCCGCCGCGGCCCGACAACAATTCCTGTTCAAAATAATGAACAGGAATTGTTGTCGGGCCTTGTGCCCAATTTTTCCGTACCCATTTCGGGCGTCCAGACCCAAGATGGGGCCAGAAGGGGCCCCAGCCGGCCCCGAAAACTGCCCTGTGAGAGCAGCGCAAATGTCGCACGCGGCCCGCCGCCCAGTGCCGCTCCATTTCGGTGTTCGCGCGGGGCGCCGAGCGAGCCTTTGCTTTTTGTGCCGCCGTCGGCCGCGGCGGACTCCTCGTGGAGATCGGGCGCCCAGGAGGGGGAGGAGTAGGAGGAGGAGGAGGAGGAGGAGGAGGAGGAGGAGGAGGAGGAGGAGGAGGAGGAGGAGGAGAAGGAGGAGGAGGAGGATGAGGAGGAGGAGGGGGGGAGGACAATACATTGAAGACTGGTTGGTTTACTTTCCCAGGGGGGTGCAGGAGCGCCCAATAGCGCCCCACGTTCGTCCCAAAAGAGCGAGCTCCAACCAGCGACGTTCGGGCTCCCACGGGGGAAGGGGCGAATTGAGGACCCCCTTCGTCACGGATGTTCTCCACGGTAACCCCTGGAGGGTCTCAACACACACACACACAAATAAGGCTCCCAAAGCCTACCGGGAAAGCTCCAGACGCTCCAGGAAGCCTCCAATGGCTCCCAAAGCGAAAGAAACGCGAAACATTTTGTGCTTAACTTCTGTCATCGACGTCGTCGTCGTCGTCGCAATTTTCCCACTCCCTCGTCCTCCTCCGCCTCCTCCTCCTCTTCCTCTTCACCTTCCCCTCCTCCTCATAACACCCTCCACGTCCTCATTCTTTGTCCCGCCCTCTTTCTCCTTATCCTACTGCCAATCCCCCTTCCAAATACGGTTCACCTGAAATTGAGCAGGAACGTGTTCCGTCAATTTCCCTTCCTTCTGCTCGCTCTTCTCCTTCTCCTCCGCCCCTTCCTCCTCCTACTCCGTCTCCTCCTCCAATGCTGATACGGATGACCCGTGGAAGAGAGTGCAGTTTCCTCCTCCTCCTCCTCCGTTTCCCCCCCCCTTCGGAAGATGAAAGGTGCCCCCTCTGTGTTCCACTGCATGTGCTTATGCTTTCCTGACAAGGGCATTTCGGCTGGGCATCATTTCTGATGGACTAGTTGGAACAAGACGTCAATGGAGTACATACTTCACGATCGGAGTTGAACCTGTGTGCTTGCCAATGAACACGCATACGACATGAACAGTTCTAGACACAATGCTGGAAACAAGTCATAATCAAGCGGCGCCGCACAGACGGGAAGGACACAGATGACAATTACAAGAACCTTTGGCCCGTAGTAGTCGGACAACTGGAAGGGGATGTAACCACCCTGATGCAGAGTCGGCACGCGAACACATGCACAGCAACTAACCCACCAAGGCTGACCATGGTATTAGGCCCAGCAGGCGAAACATGTGGCAGCCTCACCAACTTCTCACGACTGTCCATCGGGTATACACGGCTTTTGCGAAGCTCACGGGGTTTCCTTCAATGAAGCTGTGCATACTAAGTGTGATACATGAACGCTGCCAATTATATACACAACATCTGCTCAGACAAGACTACAACAAGCACTCACATCGTGAAAGTATAGAGGACCACCAGAAAGCATGAGCCGACATAAACATTGATATTTGAAACTCCGCGCGGGTTTCTTGGATCGGCGCTGGCCCCGTCCCTGGCGCAGAACAGAATGCCGATGTATTCAAACATGACGGTCTCAGCCACGCTCTGAGAGCACTTCGCGCAAGCCGCAGCAAGCTCTCATAACATGTTCTTCGAAGGGCCCGTGGGCGAGCCAGGACGCCTCGCCGCTGCGTGAAAGAAGCGCCTGGAAGGCGGGGCCAAAACCAGCTGCACGCACCAAATGTCGTGTCCCCACCCCTTTCCCCACCTCTCCTTCCGGCCGACCCGACGGGCCTCAGAGGGAGCCAGTCTGCATTCTCCCCCAAAAAGGTGGGAGGGGCTCGGCAGCAGCCCAGGGAGACACACACACACACAGAAACATGTATACACTCCCATATTCACAGTACGTTTCAAAGTGTTTGGGTTGTCCGTCTTCCCCTCCACTTCCCAAAACTCTCCATGCTTTCATGGAGATATCTCAGTTTATGTGTGTCTGTGTCGATGTTTCCCTCCCGAACAAAAAAGTGGGTGGGGGGGGCGGGAATTCGGCGACGCACTGACCCAGGTCAGCACAGGCCCGGAGCGGCCACGGCCCGGCCGCGAAGCCCGGCCGGGCGCTCCGTAGCTCCCGAAGCCTGGCCAGCGAAGGGCGGGAAGAGGGAGTCGGCCCCACGCGGCGCCCAAACCCCGGGGCAGTCAGGGAGGAGTGGCCGACCCCCGTTGGCGCCGACCTCCGCTGGGGGAGACCCGACGAAGGAGGCGCGATGGACAACCATGTGCACGTGTCACGCTGATCTTTTCTTGAACACCCCCCGGGCCCCCCACTCAATATTGGCGGGCTGCGCCGCGATGTGTCGATCTGTCGACAGGCCGAAATCCTGCGCCCGCTGGCGATGCCAGCCAACATTGAAGAGGCAGGGGGAGCGTTGAAGTCTGCGGCGGCACCTTTGTCGCGCGGGTGGTGCAGAATCTTGGTCGACTACACGCAAGAGTGATCCTGGGTAAGAGTTACTTTTGGTGCGCGGCTTTTTGGGGGCCGCGGGGGAACCAAACAATAGCGCGCAAAACGCCGCTACCGCGTCGCGTTCGGCGATCGGGGGACCCCATTGGGCCCGCATCCAAAGGTCACTCCAGTGAAAGGTCACTCTTACGTCTAGTCGATTTGGTCCACCAACAAGAGCCACCCGCCTCAATGGCCGGACTCTGCGCGACCGTGATGATGTTGCCCTGCGCCCGGGCCGCTCCGGGTGGGCGCGGCCTGATGCGCTGCCGCTCCACGGGTCCCGCTGCTCGCCCCCTCGTCCATGTCCTCCGCGCCCTCTGCTTCCTCCTCGTCCTCCGCTCCTTTTCCCCCTCTTCCTCATCCTCCTAACCTGAAGGGAAATTAGGACACACAAATAAATACACACAAATAAAAATATTCCCGATATTTTCCCATATTTTCTGGGTTTTTGTCTTCCCCCCCACTTCCCATATTTTTGCATATTTTCTGGGGAATCGCAGATTAATTGTGTCTGTGTGTTTTTTCCCCTCCTGATAACCCTTCGCCTTCGCTGTCGCGGTCGCTGTCGGCCTCGGAGCTCGGACCGAGCGCAGCCATCCCTCCAACCAGCAGCGGTCGCTGCAGGGAGGGGGTGACCAGACCAGGGCCTTTTTTTTTTTTTTTTTTTTTTTTTTTTGTCCAGCGCTATTTTGGAGAAGGGGGAGGAAGAGGCGAGAGGGAGACAACGCACACGCCAGCTTGCCGTCCATCTCGCATATCGTGCCGGGGAGTCCGGGGGCCACGCCAGGGCCTGCATTATGTACATGTTCGCCGACCCCCGCCTGCGGAGGGGGAATCGGGGGCGCGCAAGCATGGATTGGCGATCCATGGATTCGGCGCGCGGTCGCCAAATCCATGGATCGGGGGAGGTGCCCTCCCCAGAATGCGGCCGGTGCCGCCTCGCTCGGCGGCGGAGATCCGCGGTTTCCCATGCAAACGGGCTTCGTCGCTACTCCACGCCCCCTTGATCCATGCTTGCGATCGCCTGAATGAAAAGGAGTGTGAGATGAGTGGATGTCACCCCTCCCCCTTTCCCCCGCCCCTGGGGTCCAACATCGCATTAGAATTAGGTCGGGCATGTCCCCCTACAGGCAGATTTTGGAGGAAAAGATAAGCAACAATCAAGCATATAAAAAATGTGATGAAAAAGAAACAATCGTCCCCAGACTTGTGTCTACTATTTTTGAATATTTCTGGACATGCCCGACGTAACATTAGAAGGGAAGGGCGGGCCCCTCAACGCTCCCCCAAGGCCGTCGGAACCGCAGAACTCACCCTCCGTGATGCTCTTCTGAGATGTCTCCAGGAGGGCTCCCGAGAATTCTCCGACACGCCAGAGAGGCCTCGTGCGCGTTTTTTATGCATTGCTTTGCCGATCGGCGCGGGCCCTCGCACCCCCCCCCCCCACCACCGCATGGAGTAGAGCTTGGCTGCTTTTGGCGCTTGTTTCGATCAGGCGCAGTCTCCCCCGTAATAGACACACTGTTGTAAACAGTCGTACTAAGCAGAGGTCCAGAGCCAGACCCCCCTCCCTTCCTCTTCGCTCAATGTCGAAACGCCGAATGCGACAACGCTCACCTCAAGAACACCCGAGATAGTCTCAAGACGGCCCAAGACGCCGAACGAGGGTCCCACGCGGACCCCCGAGAGGGCAGGCAAAACACTTTGATTCTCCATTGGTTTTGAATGATGCCCGCGCTCTCGGCTCTCTGGCGTCTGTAAGCTCAAGACGGGCCAGGGAGGCCCCCAAGACTGGCCCAAAGACGGCCCAAGAGGCCCCCAAAGCGGCCAAGGAGGGCCCCGAGACGGCCCGAGAGGCCCACAGGACGGCAAAACAGACCAGACCATGGCCCCTGGAGAGGCCCACCACCACCCCAAAAGATGGCCCCAAAGGCCACAAAAATGCCCCCAAGAGGCCCCCCAGAAGTCTCCAGAGGGCCCCAGAAAGTCTCCGGGAGCCGTGAACAAGCTCCAAGAGGCCCTCAAGAAGCCCCGGAGGATGGAGGACGAATTAGTAATACTTGCAAGTAGGCGGCATAACGGGGAGTGGCAACCAACGGGCACGAAGTCGGAAGCCGCACATATCTTCTTCTGGGGGTCGGTGGAATAGCGTAAGCTTCTTGTATCCGCCTGCCCATCGGGCTGAAGGGCGTGTGAAATGTGATGGTGAGAGCTCGCGGCAGGGCTTTAGCCTCACCCCTTTCCGACGCTTTCGGGGCGAATTCTGGCTCTATCTCAACCCTTTCGGGTCTCCTTTTGGGTCTCAGCAGCCAGCTCCTGTGGCCCTCCAGAACGCCTCTTGGACCCAACAGCGCGTACAAGCTGGGACCTTCGAAAACATGGCAAAACACATCGGTGTTTGATGATTTTCGCCTCGCCCGGGGCCGCCCGGACGCCTCTTCTAGCCGACAATCGGCCTCGCCTGGGCCATGACCAAACACGTACATTTCGTCTACGATTTGGGCCGTTTTCGGTATTCATTTTGACCAATTCTGGGCCGAACTGAGGCCCCCAGAACGGAGCCAAAACCAGCCCAGATCCAGGCCGGTTTCCGATGGAAATTCGAACGGGGCTTGGGCCCACCATGGGGATGCTCGCGCTTGAGCCGTCCAGAGGCCCGCCCGGGCAGCCTCGGGCCCTCCTTGGGACCATTTCGGCAAATTTCCAACGCCCTCTTCGGCCTTTGAGGGCGCCTCTTGGATCAGGAGGAGAAAAAACACACAGACACAATTCATCGTCGATTCCCAGAAAATATGGGCAGTGAGGGGGGAAGACAGAAACCCAGAAACCATGGGAAGATATGGGAAATCCTTATGTTTGTGTGCATTTACTTGTGTATTGGACCTGTGGGTGGTCACCAATTTTGGAATACTGCCACCCGTCTTGGCACCGTCTTCGTCTCTTCCGTTGAGAACTGGAATGGGGTGGTGGTGAACGCAAAGCGTCTTGCATATAGAGCCACGCAGGCGAGGAGGTTCCCCAGGGGCGGTGTAGCTATGTCCCCTGGCGACCCTGGGGGGGGGAGACGACAAGCTTTTCCTCCTCCTCCTCCTCCTCCTTCTCCTCCTCCAATCTCCCCTCAGCTTCCTGCTCCTCCCCCTCCCCCTCCCCCTCCCCCTCCCCCTCCATCTCCTCCTCCTCCTCCTCCTCCTCCTCCTCCTCCTCCTCCTCCTCCCCTCTCTCTCTCTTCCTCTTCCCCCCCCTCGTCCTCCACCCCCTTTACTGCCCCTGCTACTCTTTTCTGTCTGAGACCATGGCCTCTCGGACATACGCCAGCTCTTCACCCTTGATTCGTCTCCCTACAATATGGGCCCGATCACAAGAAACCTTCGACAAGAAACCGAACCCTGAGACCCCAGGACGTCCATTGATTTTTGGTGTGGGAACGTCACGCTCTCCATAGCAAAACCATGGACACCCAAGAAACTTAGGACACCCTGGAGGCAACAAGGGTGTTTCTTGGCACGGGTATCCTCTGTACACTTCTTCCTCGTCCTCCCTGTCTCCCTCTGTTCCCTCCTCCCAAAGGCTTCCTCGCACAGTCCCACATTGAACACATGGTGCCGCGCGTGTCCCTCGTTTGCTCATTTGAACTGCCCGGAACCTTCCTATCATCCTGCTGCCCCCCCATCCTCTGCATCGTCCTCCTCCTCCTACGACGAGTGCGTGCCGGGGCGACTTCGGCTCCTGTCCTCAACATTGCGCTTGAGTCGGGCATATCCCCCTACAGGCCGATTTTGGACGAAACATAAAACATACCCAAAACATATCCGAAAATACTCACAAATACTGAAACAGTCGTCCCCGCCGCCGATCTGGCGTGTGAGTTTCTGAGAGTGTGGGCTTGAGCTCGCTCAAGCTTCCGCTCAGTGCGGGGGGGACGTCATTTCCGACCTAATTCAGTGCTTCGCACCCCCTCCCCCTCCAGAGCGCGCCCTCCCCCCTGCAGAGCGCCCCCCCCCCCCTCCTGCAGCCCAGCCTTCCCCCTCCCCCTGCAGAGCGGACCCCCCCCCTGCCCCCCCTCCCCCCTTCCCTGCAGAGCGGACCCCCCCCCCTCCCCCTGCACCCCTCCCCTGCAGAGCAGACCCCCCCCTGCAGAGCGGACCTCCTCCCTGCAGCCCCCCCCCCCTGCAGAGCGGACCCCCCCCCCTCCCCTGCACCCCCCCTGCAGAGCAGACCCCCTCCTGCACCCTCTCCCCTGCAAAGCGGACCCCTCCCCCCTGCAGCCCAGCCCCCCCCCCCCCCCCTGCAGAGCGGACCCCCTCTGTGCAGCCCCCCCCCCTGCAGAGCGGACCCCCCCCCCCCCCCCCCCTCCCCTGCACCCCCCCCCCTGCAGAGCAGACCCCCCCTCCTGCAGCGCCCCCCCCCCTGCAGAGCGGACCCCCCCTCTCCCCTCCCCTCCCTCTGCCGAGCGGACCCCCCCTGCAGAGCAGACCCCCCCCCTGCAACCCAGCTCCCCCCCCGTCGTCGTCGTCGTCGTCGTCGTCGTCGTCGTCGTCGTCGTCGTCGTCGTCGTCGTCGTCGTCGTCGTCGTCGTCGTCGTCGTCGTCGTCGTCGTCGTCGTCGTCGTCGTCGTCGTCGTCGTCGTCGTCGTCGTCGTCGTCGTCGTCGTCGTCGTCGTCGTCGTCGTCGTCGTCGTCGTCGTCGTCGTCGTCGTCGTCGTCGTCGCTCGCGTCATCGTCGTCGTCGTCGTCGTCGTCGTCGTCGTCGTCGTCGTCGTCGTCGTCGTCGTCGTCGTCGTCGTCGTCGTCGTCGTCGTGGTCGTTGTCGTCGTCGCTCTCGTCGTCGTCGTCGTCGACGTATTCGTTTTCGTCGTCGTTTTCGTCTTCCTCGTCGTCGTTCATTTCCACAGGCACCCGGAGCGCCCCGGATCGGCGGCACTGGCCGGAGGCCACTGCAATACTCACAAACACTGAAACAGTCGTCCCCGTATCATTTTTGACTATTTGGGGAAATTCCTGCAGAGGGACAGGACCCCCGCGAACGCGGGGCCCGCTTCCCGCACGGACGGGAGCGGGTCCGGCGGGCGGCAGAGAGGATCGGGGCGTGACTCGGCCTGTGCTACTCCCAACGTGCTGAAGGACCTCATCCCAGAAATAACTTCGAGCTCCCAGAACAGTGTTGAACGAGTGTCGCCTCCCAGGGCCCGACACGTGAAGACCCTCCTGCTTCGGTGCTCTCTTGGTGCTCGAGATTGTTCCTGGGGGCCAAAGCCGAAATAGGTTGGAGCATCACGAGACTCGGTTCCCTGCTTGCCTCCATGACTTCCTGGGGTCTCGAAGCGGTCGAGACAATCTGACCGCAGCCTACAACGGCTGCACCACCACCACCACCACCTCCCGCGCCCCCGGTGCGCTGGAGGCCTGGGCTGCTGGGCCCACGGCGAGCACGCCGGGCCGTAGCGCCCCTCTCCGCCGCCGCGGCGGGCCGCCGCGCCTCGGCTCGACGATGCCGCGGGGGCGCGCTCCGCGCGCGGCCGCCGCGGTGGTGGTCGGAGGAGGGAAGGGTACCCAGACAGGCCACCACCTCCTCCTCCTCCTCCTCCTCCTCCTCCTCCTCCTCCTCCTACTCCTCCTCCTCCTCCCCCTGCCCGAAACCCTGCATGACTGCACGCTCCACGACATGCTGCCCCGTCCTGCGCGTCGAGGAAGCGCATCTGGTCTGCGGAGGCCGAGTCGGAGATGCACGTGCTCATGGCGATGAGCTCCCCATCCTGGCGCGTTCCACCAGGGGGAGCTGTGGGAGCTCTTCCTGTTCCTCCTCCTCCTCCTCCTCCTCGTCCTCGCCCACTTCCCCCTCCTCCTGGATGCGATGGCGCGTCCAATCGGTGCACTGCCAGAAGAAACGCAGCATAAGGCACGATGCGGGCTTCTGTCCAGGGCGAGCCTGGGTGACACATATAGGTCCTCCGACCCCAGGCCCGAGGAACGGCCCGACAACCGCAGCTCTTTCTGAGTCCAGAGTGGTCCTTCTTACATTGCAGGCCTCGGACAAAAATAATGAACACTCATGCCACATTCATCTGTCAACGCCTCCCCCTTCCCACAATGTTCAAGGCTGGCGGTGGGCCTCGACCGAAGTCTCCCCCGCGCGTGCTAACTTTGGGTTTATGGGGGGAAAGGGAGTGTTCAGTCATTGTTTCCCTCTACCGTAGTTCACTTGAAGAGGCGATGCAAGGGAACGGGCCAGGAATGCTAAGTGGGGCAACGGCTCTCATGCGGACGGGTGCGGAGAGAAAGGAGAACACCAGAGGACGAACCGACTTCGAAATCAAGATGGGGATCAGAATGAACACAAGGCGGACGGAGACTGTAAGTAACTCTAGTAATTGCAGCCCGCGTCATTGATGCTGCAATCCACCCTCCTGTCTCAAGCTCCCTCCTGAGGAGTAATTCCCTCTGGTCGTGGGAGGTTTAGCGAGTTCGTTCTTCCACCCCCTTCATGTTTCTTCAGGGACGTGTTGAACGCTCCCCCTCAAGGTTCTTCCAACTTCCTTTATTTACCCCCTGGGTCTGGACAGAGGGGGTGGTGCGACCCAGAGCGGCATCCAAGATGGCCTTAGATAGCCCGAGATGGCCCCAAGATGACCCAGCACTGCTCTCAGCATGTCTCCACGAGGCCACAAGACGGCTTCCAGCGGCCACGGAGCCACCCGAGGTCGCCCCCGGGAGGCCAACATAACATCATTCAAATATCTGAGGATTGTCATGTGTTGCCACTCTCGTTGATGTGTTTGTTCCCTCCCTGTCTGTTCTGTTCTGTTCCGCTGCTATGAAGACCCCATGGAAGGGAACAGCTCCGGACGCCACTCGACCGACTACACACTGCTCTGCACAGCTTTCGAAACACGCGCCCAGGGCTCGGTGCAATGCGTGACAGCAGCAGCAGCAGCGGCAGGGAGAGGAAGCAGACGGCGAAGAGAGACGGAGAAAGGACCAGGAAGATCGGCTCGCCAGGAGGTGGACCTGTACCCAGACATCCGACGTATTCATTTGTTCAATGAGAATGCGGGGTCCCTGGAAGTCCCGACCCATCCTCAGGTCCAAGTCTTCATCCCGACGACGGAGCTGGGGCCCAGGGAAGGACCCCAGAGGCCGAAAACGGGCACGAGCCTTCTGCCGTGATGTTTCCGCGACGCGAGCACGTCTGGTAGTCGGGCCATCACTCGAGCATCCCGCGGCAATTCGGGACGGAGAGCAGCTCCTCCTCTCTTCCCCTCTCCCTCTCGATGCGCTCTGGAAGCCTCGGGATGGCTCCAAGACGGACTCAAAGACCCCGGAGGGGCGCAGCAAGGCCCCCCCCCCCCCAGGACGCCTCCCAGAACGCCAGAGGGCGCCCCGAGCGACGTCTGCTCGAGCTCCGAAGGGGGGTAGGGGGCCAATACAGTCGGGCTGCCGAAATAAGGAACGCTAACTAAGGAACGAAGCCCCTCTGTGGCTTCAAAAAAGCCTGGGTGCACGAGAAGGGATAGGTGCACAACCACGGAAGGACGTAAGGAACGTCGAGCCCCTTCCGAATCCAAACTGTTCCTTATTTCAGCGTCTTGGCTGTATTTTGTTGCTCCCATCATACTTAAGGACCACATCCCAGAAATAATCTCGAGCACCCGAAAAAAGCGTCGAAAGAGTGTCGAGACAGTGTCGAGACGAGTGTCTCTCCCAGGGCCCGACGCGTGCACATCCTCGAGGTTCGGTACCTCCTCGGTGCTCAAAACTCTGTCTGGTGATCCAGTCTCAAGGAGGTTTGAACACCACAAGGCTAATAATAAAAAGCCGTTCGCTCCACAGCCACGGAGAGCACCCTCCGGAATGGCCTGCTGCAAGCTCAGACAACCAAGATGGCAGCCACAACGGTGAGGCAAGCGCGTGTCGTGGTGACTTCGGCGCTGGTTTCTGTCACCACGCGGCTCGTTCAATCTTAAGCGATCGAGGCTTTCTGACAATGAGGATCGTTCGATGTCAGCCGATTCGGGGCCGCCGCCGGTGTTCAACCTCGAGCACCCGCGCAAGGGTCGCCGCCGCGACACGAGCCTACCGTATTCGCATGCCGCTCCATGGTGGGTGTACGTACTCATAAAAAGTGACGCCCGCCACCACTACACATGATGATGTACGCCTGGCTTTCCGCAAGCACCATGTCTTTACGACTCACGCTCTCTCCGAGAGCGAAACTGCTGATGCGGCCGAACGAAGTATACGAGCACGACGAGGACCGCGCAGCAGATGCACGACATTGGCAACGTCTTCCATGCTATGCCGTAGCTCGGCAGAGAAGAAACCACCGAGGCCATCGTGCCAAGGGACGTCGTCGTCCCAGTGGAGGCTCCCCTCGAGGATGAGAAGACTATGAAGTTGCGAGGTCTCGTCTGCAGAGCGGGGGCATTCCTCTCTAACGATGCGCGGAAGATAGCGGTATGTACAAGAAGGGAGTGGGCACGATGTGGCGAGGGGAGGGGGCCGCAAGCCAAGCGGAAGAGGAAGGACGAATGAGTCGACTGGAGACTCGAGCCTGCCAGACGAGGGCAAAGACGAGAATGCAAGGAGGGCACCCCACACGATCGGCAGTGCCTGGTTGAATATCTCGTAGTCGCAGTTGAAGGTGTGATCGACATTGCCATCGCCTGAAAGCTCATGGCAGGAAGTGACTGTCACATCGGTGCGCCAGACGCAGGTCGATCTTCAAAAACGGCACGACGCATACCATCGGCCTTGCCACCTGCGTCGGCCTTGTCATCTGCTGCGCCCAAGTATAGAAACATCTTTGGCTCGGATATGGCTAATTGGGGACATTGCAGTCTCCAGGCGTGGGAAATTCACCCTCACAGTCGCCCCCACTGGACCCACACTTGACATTTGACGGGGGGGGAGGGGGGGGTCCCTCCTCCTTAATCCCACCAGTTCCCGGTGTCCCTTGTGACTCCCAGCGTGCCGTTTCAGCCTCAAGGCGCGTCCTAGACGCGTCCTAGACGGCCCAAAAGGGCGTCAACAACTTCCCAAGAGGGCTCCGAGATGTTCTGAGTATCTTCTGTTTCAACGGACCCGAGGGACCCTGGGACGCTCGCAAGAGGCAACAAGAGAGGCTTCTCGACTCCACCAGAGAGGCTACGGACAGAACTCACTGTTTGTTTCAATATTCGTTTGTGTAGACGTGCATCTGTACTAGAACCACGCGCGCGCTTCGCGCGCGTTTATGATCTATCCCAGGCAAAACCACTGTCATAATCGTCACGGGTTGGACACGCACACCATCCCACTGAGATCACCACATGGGAACACCTGAACAATCATGGGCATACACATCCCAATAGCGTCCCCCGACTGTTTCGCCACGTCCTTCACACGGATCGTGCCACTGAGCGCTCTACCTACGGTTCCAGAGACAATATTCACATGGCATAACACTACTCAAGCGGATTGTCCTGCCTCGCAGGTAGGTGCACTCACGGCACCAGATGGAAGCTTCGCATCGCGTCACCCCGCTCACTTCATCACAATACTCACGCAGATCGTGGTCGCAGGGATTTCCACCTACGGCCCCAGAGACAAGGTTCGCATCCCGATCCCCCAGCTGCTTCGGCACATCTCTCACACATTTTCACGCACCCAGTACAGCGTTTCGTGGCCCCATAAGGAGATCCACCGAAACCCCCAGTCGGACCGCCCGCATGCGTCCCACACATCTAATTTGGCATTTTCGCTTACCCAGTGCAGCGCTTCGTGGCCCCATAGGGAGCTCCACCGAAGCCCCCAGTGGGACCGCCCGCATGCGCCCCGAAAACCGAATTTGGCATGTGCACCCACCGGAGCGTGCCCACAGGGAGTTCCACCGACGGTCCTACAAGCATCGTCAAAAATATCCAGACATGGAAGTTAAAATCCTGTCAGCATTGGAGTAGCGCTGACCCCACAACCACCGAATTCAGACGTCTTCTGTTTATTTTTGACGAGGCTTGTAGAGACAGGGTTCGCTTAGCGTCCCCCCTTTTTCGGCACGCCCTCACGCGGATCGTGTCCCACAGGGACCACCACCAACAGCCCCAGAGGCAAGGCCCTCACATCGTCCACAGCCCCAGAGGCAAAATTCTCACATCGCCCCCCCGCCCATCTCGGTACACCCGTCACGCGAATCATGCCCTGTAAGGAGCTCCACCTATGGCACCAACGCCCCCCCGTCCACTTCGGCACACGGAGCTCCACCTGCGGCCCCAGTTGGCATGTTCGCGCGGGGGCACCCAACTCATTCGGCACCCCCTTGACGCAGATCGTGCCCCACACGGGATTCATCGCGTCTGTGCACGCTTGCTCCGCAGCAACTCCCCTTATCCGCACTGTCCCGCGGCGCCCAATGTGTGACGAGAGGGCCGCGCCCTGCGCTACACGTGACTGTATAGGTTTGGGCTCGTCGCCAGGCTAAGTGTTTGCTTGTCGAAGACGCCTACGGAGAATCACCGCCGCCCCCCTGCCTTCTTGGGAAGCGCCTGCGTCGCGCCAAACGTTTGGCGAGAGCTTGGCCAAACTATCGGACCACGTATCCCCCCAGCAACTCTGGAAGATCGTCGGCGGGAACGCTTGGGGAGGATCAGGAGAGGGACGATGAGAAGGAGGAGGAGGAGGAGGAGGCCTCGTGGGAACCTCTCTTGGGGCCTCCTGGGAGCTTCCCGGGGGCCTCTTGGAGGTCACTTTGGGGCCGCCTTGGACCTCTTGGGGGCCTTTGGAGGTTTCTTTGAAGTCTCTTTGACCGCCGTCTTAGGGCGTTGTTGGCCTGACCGACGCCGTCGGAAGCAGTCTTGGGGGCCTCTCTGAACCGATGTGGGGCCTTCTTTGGAGCGCTTCAGTGTTCATGGGGCCATGTTGGAGCCTCTTCGGCGATCTTGGGGGCCTCTCAGGCCGTCTTGGGCCGTCGGAGGGCCAAAAAGAAGCACATGCCAACTTCCTCCAAACACACCGAAGACAAAATAGTGGTTTTGACCTCTTCAGGTCTTCCTGGAGGACCTCTTGGAAGCCTCGGGAGCCGTCTTGGAGGCTTTTGGGGGCCTCTTGGACCGTCTTGGGCCACCTTGAGGCCATCTTGGCCCATCGTAGGGCCATGTTGGCAATTTTTGGGACATTTTGGGGCCATCTTCGTCTCTATTGGGGGCATCTGAGCCGTCTTGGAGACCACCTGTCTTCGAGGCCATTGTGGGGCCATCTCATGGGGGAGGCCAATGAAGCACGAATTTTCCTGGTGGCTGGCGCATTGGGCTGGAGGCCCCTGATAATTTTTTGGTAAATGACCAACACTACTTAGAGATTCGGCATGCCGTGCACCCCTGTGGTAAGCACATGAGGCGGCGGATCAAAGACGCCTACGGCAAATCACTGCTGCCCCCTCCCGTTTAAGATACGCCTATGTGGCCGAATATTTGGGCAACATTTGGCCACGCCATTGGGCAATGCGTTGCCCCAACCGTAATGGAAGCCCTTCGGGGAACACGTGGGACGAACAAGGAGGACGAGGAGAGGGAGGTAGTATAAAAAGAAGAGGAGAAGGATGAGGAGGCCTCTTGGGAGCTCCTGGGGCCATTGTTGAGGCCTCCTGGGAGCTTGCTGGGGGCCTCTTGGAGGCCTCTTGGGGGCGTCCTCGGGCCTCTCTTGGACCTGTGGGGACTCCTTGGATGCCTCTTTGTCCGTCCTACGGCGCTCCTGGCCCGCCTGATGCCGGCGGACGCCCTCTTCGGGGGGTTCCCTGGGCCGCCTTTGGGCTCTCTTGGGGGGCTTGAGGGTCGGCTTGAAGGCCCTCTTCGGCGTCTTGGAGGCCTCTCGGGCCCTTGGGCCGTCAGGGGACAGTCTTGGAGGCCCCTCTCGGGCGGTCCTGGGGCCGATCTGTGGGGCCTCTCGGGGGCGAGACGTCGGGGCGAGGATGCGCTGCGATCGCGAGCACCAGCAGGTCGGGGGCGTCCAACCCCCCCCCCCAATACGTACGATCCTTGCCGTTACCATGGGGGGGGGATTGGCCCAGGTAGCGACCGTGACGCACCAGAGGATAGAAAGCAGTCTGCAGATGGCCCAAGATGGCTCGAGACTACCAAGAATGACCCACGCAAGATCCAAGTGGCCTCCTTGACCAGGGTCGTTCGGCGGCCAGTCAACAGCTGCAGAGCTTCCCGAGACTGCCCAAGACGAACACCCGAACAAGCCATGGCAACTAACGAGATCCTTCGGGGAGAAACCCGGAGGGAACAGACCCCACCCAATGAACCCGCGCAAGCTCGAAGCGTACATGACATGAACATCAAGGGGCGGAGGCGGCGTACTCCTGTCGAAAACAGAGCCCCAAGAGGATCTCCAAGGGGGCACCACGAGGCGAAAATCATGGATGCTAATCTCGTTGTTCTGTGTTTTCGCATCCTCACCTTCTCGTCGCCGTCGTGGTCGTGGTCGTGGCCGTGACCGTGACCGTCGTCCCGCCCCTTCGGGGTCGGCGGCACGGCCCTAAGACCTTCGAAATAAAAAGGGCGGATGTGGCGCACGCATTAAAATGAATGCGACGGTGCACGCATACACATGACAAGCCCGTCCCAACATTTCTGTGATCGAAGATGTTAACAATGCGACCCCAGCTCGAAAGATACCGTCACAACTGCGCTGCGCAAAGCTACCAAAACGGGTACGGCATACCCAAAGTGCACCGTGCCCAGGGCCTATGGGCAACACTGGGGACGACGAGGCCATTCTGCGGGCGATGCGAACGCGCATGGCAGATGCGGATTGAGTTCGGCTCGACGGGCGGACACGCGCAGCCAAGGCAAACACTGTTGGAATCTGGACCGGATAGCCAAGGCATGCCACTTTCGAAGAACACGGCCTGCTGGATCACGGTCTTCCCCGCGGCGAACTCGGAGCACGTACATAATCTGCCCAAGCCGAGAGACTCTCCGAGTGTGGTGCTAAGGCATGGTGAGGCGAGAGCCGCGCCTCGTGTGGGTGCCACTGGCATGCGGAGAGGCTGGAGGAAGCGGTGCAGGCTGGAGAGCCGGGAGGTGGCGCAAGCAAGGTGGTAGGAGGAGCGCGGTGAGCAAGGTGGCCAGCAACAGAAACAACTGGATAACCATACACTTTCGGAGCTCCGCGCGGATTTCTTGGATCGGCGCTGGACCCCCATCCCTGAGACGCGGAGCGCGCCAAGGGCCCCTTGGAAGATGGGCGAGGGCTGGCAAATACAAATTCCCGGAATAGAACTCAACGCGCTAAATAATAAACGGGCTGCTTCCCGGAAGAAGAACAGATTTCCGGAACTCCGTTGAGCACCAGCGTCGACCTCCGAACTCCACGTGGAACTCCGAACGTCTCTAGGCTGATGCAGATGTCTTTTCTTAGAGCGAGGCCGGCAGGATGCTGAGAGGGAGGTCACGTGCGGGTGCCAGTGGCCAGCGGAGGTTTGAGAAGGTCATGCAAGCTGGAAGCAGCACTCGGGGGCGTCCACGAGGGGGGCATCCAAGAGGGGGGGCGCAGATCGTGGCCCGAGGCAGGCAGGCGAGCAGCTCGGCCTCCCTCGTTGTCGCGCCGTCGACGTCGCCGCCGCCAACGCCGCCGCCGGCGTCAGAGGCGACGTCGCCGACGCCGACACAGTCGTCGCCGTCGCCGTCGCCGTCGCCGTCGCCGTCGCCGTCGCCGTCGCCGTCGCCGTCGCCGTCGTCGTCGCCGTCGTCGGCGTCGGCGTCGGCGTCGGCGTCGGCGTCGGCGTCGGCGTCGGCGTCGTCGGCGTTCTCGTCGTCGTCGTCGCCGTCGCCGTCGCCGCCGAAATTGTCGTCGTCGCCGTCGCCGTCGACGGCGTTGCTGTCCCCTCCGCGCGCTGACCACGCCGTCGCAGTCCTTGAGCGCGACCACTCGCCTGGCGAATCCCCCGCCCTCCCCGCGCCCTCTCTCGGGTCGGAGCAGCGAATCAGCTGTGGAGGTCGCAGAACGGTGCGGTGACAGACCTAGAAGTCAAGCAGTCCACCCCCATGGTAACCACCCCGACGCGCGAAGTCGTCTAGTAAACGCGCGCAAGGACGGAATCGAACAGGGCAGGGCTGCTTCGTAAACGCCCAGGGCCGTTTAGGAAACGCCAATTGTCAGGTCCGTGTGGGTTTTCCTCCCTTGGAGACCGTGCGGCAACCCCCCAACCCCCGCTCTGGGACCCGCGGAGGCCCCGGTCGCCCAAGGGCGACCCGGAGAAGGACCTCCCAGCCCCAACAACGGGCGGTGACCCCGACTTGCCCAGTGGCTCGCGGCACGAGGTGGTCACCACACCGCTTGGGGGGTCCTGGCCGCCTGACGTTCGTGTCATCACTCGGGCCTCACGCGGCCGCTCAGGGCCATCCGTGCGCCACAGGAACGCCCGCGGCGAGGCGCAGCTGCTGGAAAGCACCCCGAGGCTTATGTTGCTCCCATCGTGCTTAAGCCAACAGCGAGGGTGGAACCGAAGCGGCGCTTGAAACGAACGAGCGAAAAGAAGCCCGACGTTTGAAACACACGTTGAGAACGCAACCGTTGTTAAACGAGACGAGGCTATGACATGAAACACGCAAAGCGAACCTGAACAAACACGAACAACGAAACGAAACACACACCAGAGGCCCAAACAAAGCGAATCAGCGCTGTGGTGTCGGTCCTTGACCTTCTCCCTCCCACCTAGCTCCCCCTGGACGGCGGGGCACGAGGGCATGCAGTGCCGGCGCGGCCGCAAGAAGCCCCCGCAGGATGCCCAGGCCTGAAGCCCGCAGGCGCGAGATGCAAGCAGGGGGGAGCCCAGAGCACCCTGAACGCAGCATCTCCTTCAGCGGCCACGGGAAGCCACCGCGCAGCGCGCGGAGCGAGGAAACCTGGGATGCCCCGAAGAAAAGCGTCCAGCTCTTGATGCGCGCCCCCACTGTTAAAGGGGCCCAGGGACCTACAAACAAATAAACACAAATCTCAAGAATCCCCATGTGTTCTTTTATCTTCTAGATATCCGTCTTCCACCCCACCACTTCCCAGATTTCCTATATTTGGGGGAGTCGACGATCATGTGTCTGTGTCCATTCTTCCCCTCCTGAATTGTAGGGAAGCGCAAGAAGAAAAGCGATTTCCCCGGCGCTCTATGCCACCTGCGGGGGAGCCCCTGCGGCAGAGCCTGGTGGCCCAAAATGACTCCGAGACCCCCGCCGGGCCCCCTGCATGCCCCCAGGGAGGCCCCTCAGAAGCACCTACGAAGCCGCCAAGACGAAGGAAGAGGGGGATGACGAGGCTGCGGAGAAGGAGATGGTGTTCAAGAACCGCCCCCATTCGGAAAAGGCGCTGATCTAGAACGGGTCTGAAACTCAATCCTGCTGCGCTGCTGCACTGGGGCTGTGGCGGGGCTTGCCGCAACCAGCTGGATAGAAACTTACCCAGGAGCTCTCTGCAGAGTTGGCAAGCACTCTCCTTCCATGAAGCGAGTTTCGTCCCTGCGAGTTGCTGTGTGCTCTGTGCTGCCTGCTTTGGCCACCGCCCAGGACACTTCGACTCTTCCCACCTCCCCGCTGGCCTCAGCCGCGCCCCGTTCCACACGTCGAGCCACGCGCCACCGAGGTCAGAAGGCTCCTCCCCTCGGAGCTCGCTGCTGCGCTGCGCTCGTGTCTGCCCCGCCAGGCGACACGTCGCCGCGTCTGCCCTTCAAGACGACAACACGCATGTTGACAGGGTACGACGAGCGCGTGCCATCCATCACACGTGATCATGGCCAACACGCGTTTAGTCCGCCACCACCTGCATGGAGTGGGCGTTTTAGAATGCTCGTCCGGCATTGGGAAGGTGCCTCTAGTCCTTCTGAGGCCGCCACCCCGTCCTCGCCAGCGTGCCTCTGAGATCGCCCTGCATGAATTTGCTCTCCAGCCGCTTTTCGGTCACCAGACGGCCAGGATAGTCTCCAAGACGGCTTCTATCAAGGGGCCCTGGGACATACAAATAAATACACACAAATACCAGGATTCCCAATATTTTCCATATTTTCTGGATACTCGTCTTCCCCCCACTTCCCATATTTTCAAATCTGTTCCTGGGAATCGACGATTAATTGTGTCTGTGTGTTTTTTCCCCTCCTGATTCTAAGACAGCCGCGATGAAATCAAGATGGCCCAAGGCCGCTCGAGAGGCGCCCAAGAGGCCCCCAAGACCGCCCAAGAGCGCTCGGAGAGGCCCTCCAAGAGAGCACGCGAGAAGAAATGTTGGCTTGTCTTCGGTTGCTGGAAGATTCTGCTGGTCTCGCATGTTTGGGTGCCCGACCGCCCAAGACGTCTCCAGAGGCCTCCAAGATAGCTCAAAGACAGCCCAAGAGGCCCCCAAGAGAGTCCTAAGCCGGCCCGAGAGGACCCCGAGATCGCCCAAGAGGCCTCCAAGAGGGTCCCAAGACGGCCCGAAAGCGATCCAAGAGGGCGCCGAGACGGCCTAGAGACGCCCCCAAGACGGCCTCCGAAGGCGTCAGATGGGCCAATGGTCTTTAAGACGGCCCGAGAGGCCTCAAGAGGCCCGCACGAGGCCCCAGGATGTCACCAAGAGGCCCCAAAGATGCCCCCAGATAGGAAACACACGATATATATTTTCTGGATGCGTTCGAGACTGAAGCATTCTCGCCTGTTTCCGGTTCCCGACCGCCCAAGACGGCCCAAGAGGCCTCCAACATAGCTCCATGGCAACCCATGAGGTTCCAAAGAGGGCCCCAAATCGGCCCAATAGGACTCCAAGAGGACTCCAAGAGGACTCCAAGAGTGCCCAAGAGGCTCCCAGGATGGCCCCATGACTGCTCTGAAACGCTCCAAGAACTCACTAAGAATGACCAAAGATGCGCCCAATACGACCTCCGAAGGCGTCACCACAGAGCTTCCCAAGACGGCCCAAGTGGCATCGGAGAGGGCCCCAAGAGGCCCTCCAGGAGAGCCCGAATTGTCAAAGCAAATATCGAAACAGTCTCGCCAGTTCTGGACTCCGGCCGCCTAAGACGGCCCGAGACGGCCTCCGAGATGGCTCCAAGACAGCCCGTGAGGCTCCCCAAATTGCCCCAAATAGACCCAAACGGATCACCAAATTCCCCAATCAGCGCTTGCACTGAAGGGGTCCTAACGGAAATTGACAGATTTGGCGAACATTTCCCGCCGATTTTGGTGGCCGGCTGGGTTCCTGGGTTCCCCGTTCCGCTTTCCCAGGTTCCTGGTCATTGGTTCCAGGCCGATTTTGGTGGGTTCCGGGCTCCCGGGTTCCCGGCCGATCTCCTGATCGCTCTCTTGATCGATCCCATGTCAAACCATCCACTGATTGGGGTTTTTCTCGGGTGTACTTGCCCAAGAGGTTCCCAAGGGCCTAGGGGCCGCAAGACGGCGCCGAAACGCTCCAAGAACGCACTGAGACTGCCCAGGGAGACGACCAATACAGCCTCCGAAGGCGTCAAGCGGGCAAAGGGCTTCCTGAAACGGCCCAACGAGGCCCCACGCTGTCCCACGAGGTGGCCAAGAGTGCCCCAAGAGGCCTTCCAGGAGAGCCCGAAGAAACAAGGCCAGCGGAACGAACAATTACACAAACATAACAAATCATAGGTCCGCACGGATTTCTTGGATCGGCGCTGGAGCCCGCTGGCGGCGCCTCCAGTACCGCCCCTGGCGCGCTCCGCGCGCCATGGAGGGGGTCCATCGCGGATCCAAGAGATCCGCGCGGACCTCCGAGTTTTTATGTTTATGTAATTGTTCGTGCCCCTATATGCACCTTTGGGGTTTCCGAACGCCCAAGACAGCCCCAGAGGCCTCCAAGATGACTCCAAGAATGGCCCAATGGCCCCAGGACGGCCGTAAGTCGGCCCGAGAGTACTCCAGGTCGCCCAAGAGTTCCCAAGAAAGCCCCAAGACGGTCTCAAAGCGCTCCAAGAAGGCACCAACACGAGCCAGATAGGCCCCCAAGACTGCCTCCGAAGACGTCAGATGGGCCATGAGCAGCCCAAGGCGGCTCACGAGGCCCCCAAGAGGCTCCCAAGAGGCACCAGGAAATCTCCGAAAGGCCCTCAAAGGGCTCAACGAATGCCCGAAGTGGTCTCCTTCTCTCCCTCGTCCTAGTTTTCCTCCCTCTCCTCCTCCCCCTCCCCCTCCTCCTCCTCCTCCTCCTCCTCCTCCTCCTCCTCCTCCTCCTCCTCCTCCTCGATACTGAGCGGACGAAGACAAGGTCGGGGTCACGGCCCTCCCCTGTTGAGACTACTCACTGAATTGCCGCGGGGCGTGAACTCGACATTCCTACCGTACGGACGAAGACGATGTCGAATTCACGATCCGTCCTAGTTCAGACCGCTCGTCGGAATTGCGTTGTTTCTACGCTCAGTCTCCTTCCTGCTGCGCTGCTGCACAGGCACGGCTGCGGGGCTTGCCGCAGGCAGCTGGATAATCAGACGTTTCCCTCGAACGCATGTTGAGATAAGTGGCAATGCTGGACCATGCGATGATTGACACATCACGACGTCACCGCGAGAAACAACATGGCCCAATGCGCATGGAATGTGACAGAGGCAAACCAATACTACTCAGAAAACAACACTGCAATCAGTCAACGTCAGTATAGCAATAGCACTTGCTCAACGCAACTTCGAACACACAAAATACATAGCTACATGCTACCGACAGCGGCAATGCCTCTTCAAATCGAGAGTCACCGATCAAGGAGGCCATGTACTTCGTAGACAACGTTTGGCATCATGCAAGCCCCGACATCGTCCTTCACAACTTCCGACTTGTAGAGAAGCTTGCTGCCATAATACATCCGGACCGATGGCTGGGACCTGCCCTCACAAAGCTTCTCCTCCTACTTTCCCTAATTGTGCCCTGCCATCCTCCTCCTCCTTTCCTATACTTTCCCTCCTCCTCCTCCTCCTCCTTTACTTTCTCCTCCTCCTCCTCCTTTCCTATACTCCTCCTCCTCCTCCTCCTCCTCCTCCTCCTCTTTTTGCATATTGACATTCCCTACCCCTGTGCACCACCGTGCCCGCACGCCGTGGCCGTGGCTGAGCACCTTGGCCCCACGCCGAGCCGCACCGCCGATGCCCCGCCGGTGCCTCGCCGCTGCACTGCCGAGGCACTGCCCCATTGCGACGGCGACGTCGGCGATGCCTCGGCGCCGTGGGCGCGGAGGACATCGGGCTCCACGTCGAGTCGCACCGCCGGTGCCTCGCCGATGCACTGCCGAGGCACTGCCCCATGGCGACGGCGACGTCGGCGATGCCTCGGCGCCGTGGGCGTGGAGGACATCGGGCTCCGTGTCGAGTCGCACCGCCGATGCCTCGCCGATGCACTGCCGAGGCACTGCCCCATGGCGACGGCGACGTCGGCGATGCCTCGGCGCCGTGGGCGTGGAGGACATCGGGCTCCATGTCGAGTCGCACCGCCGATGCAGCGCCGACGCGGCACGCTGCTGCGGTGAGAAAAGCGAAGGAGAAGACGATTGCGGCATCGTCTGTGCCCCCCCCCCCCCAGTCCAGGCACTTCACTTCTCCTCTCCTACATCACTGTTCCCTCCGTCTGTCCACCCTCCTTCCCCTGGGCGCCGCACCGCTCCTCCTCTCCGATCTTCTCGTCACCCGCCCCCCCTCATCTTCCCTCCTCCTCCTCCTCCTCCTCCTCCTCCCTCCCTCCCTCCCTGTTGCAAACGAGAGCTCGCAGAACTCCGCCATGCCTGCGTCCCACCACCCTCCCTCTTGAAGCCCTGCCACTTATTGCCTACCCCTTCCGTCTCCCTCCACACTCTGGTCTCCCATCCGTCTCCTCCTCCGACCTCATCCCTCCTCTCCATCCTCCGTCCACCTCGTCCTTCTTCCCCCTTCCTTCTCCCTGCGGTAAGATTGTGCGGAGCTGGCGCGCGGGAAAGCTTTTGACACCGCGCCGCGCTGATCGTCTAACCCGGAATCGGTCGCGGCCCCAATCGTTCAAGGCTGAATTCCGTCGGGTCCAGACGAGTGACCGTGTCCCTTGGTGCTTCCACGTCGCAGAATTCAACTTTGACCGCGTTCGCTGGCTTTGCCAGCGGGCCATCGCCGCAACCTACAGTACCCCTTCTCCTCCTCCTCCTCCTCCTCCTCCTCCTCCTCCTCCTTCTCCTCGACCTTCTCTCTTCACCTCCAGTTCCTCACCCATCGTCACCCTCCTCCATCTTCCCTCATAGTCCCTCGTTCTTCCTCATCCTCCCGTCATCCTCCTTTCTCTTTTTCCCTCCCTCTTCACTCCCCTCACCAGAGTCCTTCCTCCTCCTTCTCCTCCTTCTCCTCATCCTCCTCCCTCCTGCCATATCCTGTCCCCTCGCACTTCGCGGCCATACTCCTCCCCTTCCCTGGATCCTCCCCTGTTTCCTCCTCCCTGCCTCCTCCCATCGCTTCCTTCCTCCCCCTTTTCTTCCTTCTCCTCCTCCTCCTCCTTCCACTTTTCTTCCCACTGCTCCTTCTGCTCCCCGAAGCAGCCTCCGAACGCCACCGAGAAAACCTCCTGGCCCCACCCACCCCGCCAAGAGAACAGGTCCAGCGACCAGTCCAGCAGGACCGCCTGCCCACGCCGCCCACCCCTGCTCCTCTCGGCTAGGTCGGGCCTGTCCTTCTACAGGAGGGATATCCAAAAATAGTTTTCAAAACATGGGGGCGATTTTCTGGGTATTTTGGGGTATTTATGCATATCTCCAATTTTTCGTCCAAAATCTGCTTGTAGGGGGACATGCCCGACCTAAAGGTAGGGGGAGGGGGGGATCTTCTTTGGAGGGGCACAGGGCAACACATAGACACAAGTCCCAAGACTCACCGCATTCTTCCCCAAGCAGTGTTTGCACTGAAGGGGCCCTGGACTGAATGGGCCCTGGCGGACATTGCAAGATTTGGCGAAACTGCTGGGCCGATTTCGGTGGACGGCCGGGTTCCGGGCTCCCGGTTCTGGGTTCCAAAGCTCCCGGCTTCTGGCTCCAGGCCGATTTCGGTGGGCGGCGGGGTTCGGCGGCGGGGCTCCCGGGGTTCCAATGTTTGGGTCCTGGGTTCGAGGGTTCCCGGTCGATCTCACTATCGATGTCATTATCGATCTCACCATCCATCTCGTTCAACCGATATCAATCGATGTCACAGCCGATCTCACTCTTGATATCACGATCGATCCCACTATCGGGTTCACACTATTCATACCACCGTCGATTGCACGAAAGATCTCACGATCGATCTCACGATCGATCTCACGAACAATATCACGACCACTCTCACTAGCGGTCTCAGTATCGATGTCATCATCGATGCCATGATCGATGACCCTATCGATCTCACTAATAATATCCTTATCGATCTCACCATCGACCTCACTCAATCGGTATCACCATCGACACCACTATCGAACACACGATCGATCTCTCGATCGATGTCACAATCGATCCCACTCAATCGATATCACGATCCATATCACTATCGATCATGGTACCGATCTCACTACTAATCTCACTCAATCGACCTCACTACCAATATCACTATCGATGTCGCTATCGATCTCACGATCGATCTCACTTTCGATCTCATTGAATGGATCTCAATATCGGTCGCGCTGACTGTCCATCTCAATATCGCTAGCATGACGTTGCGTATCATATAACATAGCACGAGACACCCGCGCGCCACGGGAGACCACGGGACACCATCGGGACACTTTCGGGAGATCAACGGGACACTATCAGGACACCACAAGGCCACTGCCGGCCAATCCGGAGGACAGCAAAGTTTGGTTCGACTTCGCCCTGGCAATGGCGAGTTCATTCCTCTCGCCCGCCCACGCAGCTTCGCCTCGCCCGCGCGCGCGACACGAACGTGAATCCGAACCAATATCCCAGTGGGGGGGTCTCCGTTTCTCTGCGATCTCACCCCCCAGCCTCCGATATGAATGGAGAGAGGGAGAAAGAGAGAGAGAGAGAGAGGGGAAAAAAAAAGATAGAGAAAGAGAGAGAGAGAGAGAGCATAACTACACATTTGTTTTGAAGCCTCGGAAGCGAAACTGTGCATGCTGCATTGGGGCAGGCCGGCCGGGTTAGCGCCACCACATCTCCCGAACCACCACCAGCTCCCAGCACAGACTGCGGACCCACCTGCGCACAGCTCAATGTGCATCGACCAGGCTGCACAGATAGGTAACGTCTCGGCCAAGATGGCGCTATACAGGGTACGGCCACAGAACAAGGAAAACCGGCCGCCTGAGCATAACTAAACAAGTATGGTAGATAAATAATGCGAGAGGCGGAGTAGAAAGGAGTGTCGCCTTTCCTGCGCGACATCATTCTGCCCTGCACGTACCACTGGCCACCGAGAGCCAGATCACGATCGGGCTGACACCGAGCAAGCTGCTGTGAGCGCGTCTTGGGCAGCCTGCTCACTCGAAAATGCGTGTAGGTACGTATATGTGTGTGTGTGTGTGTACATCCGCCGGCCCCCTCCAGGGGCGTAAGGCTGCGAAGGTGTGTGCAGGTTGCTGTCATTTGTGATGCGTTATCATTTGCTGTTTGGCCTTTTGTCTCTCCAGTCCTGTTTCCTGCGTCCTGTTGACTGTCTTCCAAGTGGCCCCGCCGCGTTACCAAACAGCCAGCGGGGGGGAGGAAGCTCAAATCCAAGCTGCTCTGGGCCACCCCAGGATTCTCATGGTGACGCCACCGCGCGGCCAGAACGGCCCGAGAGGCCTCCAAGATTGCCCGACGAGGCTCCGAAGAGAGCCTCAGGAGGCCAAAACGGCCCAAGATGCTTCCAAGACGGTCCAAGAGGCCTCCAAGAGGCCTCCCAAGAGGGCCCCACGAAGCAACAATCAACGATTTTCCTAAAGTGTTTGAAGGTTGTTGGCCTTCTCGCCTTTTCGGCTTTCCGACGCTCCGAGACGGACTAAAGGTTCCCAAGATCGCCCCGCGATGGCACTGCAAGTGGATATGGCGACCCCAACCCCCGACTTGGAGGGTTTTCGACTCGACCAGAAATTTGGTGCCCAACCCTGGGATTTTCGATGGGGGTGTGCGTCCATCCTCGATGGGGGTGCGAACGAATAGTCCCCTGGGGATGTATCCCAGAGTGTCGCCCCTTTTCTGAGCGGCCAAACTTTTCCGGCAGAACTCGGGGATTTGAAGAGAAAAATCATGGGAACTGGGAGGAGGAGGAGGAGGAGATGCAGGAGGAGGAGATGCAGGAGGAGGAGGAGGAGGAGATGCAGGAGGAGGAGGAGGAGGAGAAGGAGGAGGAGGAGATGCAGGAGGAGGAGGAGGGGAAGGAGGAGAGGAGGAGGAGGAGGAGGAGGAGGAGGAGGAGGAGGAGGGAGGAGGAGGAGGAGGAGGAGGAGGAGGAGGAGGAGGAGGAGGAGGAGGAGGAGGAGGAGGAGGAGGAGGAGGGAGGAGGAGGGAGGGAGGAGCCCCGCCTTGTCTCTGGTCATCAGGCTGCCGTCGTGGGCGAGGCCCAACCAGCCCGCGGGGTCCCCGAGGAGCTGCACGCGCTCGGGCAGCAGCGCGAAGGCGCACCGCTGGGCGTCCTCTCCGCAGGGGGCTTCGGCGAGGTCACGACGACGACGACGACGAGGAGGACAACGACAAGGACGGCACGGACACAACGACGACAACGACGATGACGACGACGACGACGAGGACGACGACGCGGACAACGACGACGACGACAAGGACGACAAGGACACAACGACGACGACGACGACGACGACGACGACGAGAAGGACCACGACGAGAACAAGGACGACGACGACGATGACGACGGCGGCGACGACGACGACGCCGACGCCGACGCCCCTGGGTGAGCAACGGCGCGACGACGAAAACCATGATGCGCTCGAACCAGAATTTTCCAGATGTACTGGAACTAATAATGGCATAAAACTCTGAGGTCCGCGTGGGTGCCTCGGATCGTTGCTGGGGCGCCCTGGCGCCCCTGGCGCGCTCCGCGCGCCAGGGAGGGGTGTTCAGCGCGGAGCGCGCCAGAGTTTCTGCAGTTTATTGTTCTTCGACCAATGCACCCGAAGTATTTTTTTCCAGATGAGCGTCCAGATCGCCCCGAATGCTGACGCGGTGATCGTCCCACTCTCTGCAACTTGACTCGATGATAGCACAGGCTGCTGTGGCCACGGCTCCGCGGCAGAAGCCGATCGGCTAGCTCAACACGATGGTTCGAAAGTTAAGCCCGTGTAAGCCAGGGCCAACGACATCGATGGTGGGTCAGAGATGAGGGGACTGGCTTGCTGTCGAGATCTTCATTATCGCCAACTACTAGTCGGCTATGGTGCCGCCTCAAAATGCCCTGGATGAGAACTACTGACACTGGTGATTTTAACTTTGCGACGGCGCCTTTGGCAAACAACCAGGTACCCTCGGTGCGCTGGCAAGGGGCGGTGGCATCGCAAACACCTGCCCTACATAACAGACGGCAAAATTCGCCGGCCCAACGGGCCAGAGGCGTGCTAGGATCTCCCGTAACTGCGTACAATATTTCTACTTCGCGCGCGCGTGGAGCGGCCCCTGGGGGTCCCTGGACGAAAAGTACCCCAGGCCGTCCCCGGCCGGTTCGTGTCAGAGATCCCCGGCCAGGTCGGGTCGGGTGGGCGCCGCCCTCGAGGCCCTCCAGAATGCCTCAAGAAGGGCCAATAGGCCCCCAAGATAGAACAAGAGGGCTCCGAGATGCCACAAGATCGCTCCAAGATGCCCCAGATTGCCCCCAGACGCCTCAAGAGGCTTCCAAAAGCACTCCCAAGAGGGCCCGAAGATATAAAATTCATAGATTTTCTTAGGTTTCGGACAGATTTGGGCGTTTCCGCCTCAAGACAGCCCAAGAGGTCCCGAAGATCACCCCAAGAGGGTCCAAGAGGGCCCCAAGAGAGCCCCAAGACGGCCCAGGAGGCCTCCAGGACCGCCCAAGACGACTCCAAGACGGCCCAAGAAGGCCCCAAGAACGCCCCAAGAGAAGCAGCCCCCAGGAGGTCCCCAGAGGTCCCTACGAGGCTCTCAACATGCGGTCAGGAGGCCGCCAAGAGGCCCCCACGAGCCCCCAAAAAGGATCCAGGTTAAGACGTCCCCGAAAGCCTCGGAGAACTCCCCAGAGCTTCCTGACTCCATAACAAAAACTGGATGCACGCGGGGACTATGATCTAATGAATAGGCCCTGGAAACGACAAGGCCGTTTTTTACCGGTTCCGTTTCGCCGATGTCTCGCCGGTTCCGTCGCTGCTTGTTTCCGGTTCTGGCGCGGCCTTTCAGGACGAAGTGGGCACTCCCAAAACGCTCTCGGCGAGGCGCAGCCGCGGAAGGCACCCCGAGGCCAGAAAACCGCAGAGAACCGACAAGTCGTTAAAAAACTCGGGTCGGGCGAAAGGGGGGGATTGGGAAAGGGGGGGGTACGAAATTTGCTGCATGCAGCTGGTTTCGGCCTCACCGAGGGGCCCATTCCTCGATACATAGCTCCATCCGGCGCCGGGAGGCGCCGGGAAAATCAGCTACGTGAGCTGATTCTCAAACCCCCCCTTTGCTATCCCCCCCTTTCGCCCGACCCGAAAAACATAAAGCCTGAATGCCCCACGAACGTTGCCCCTGATCCTCGTTTTTTCCTACCTCTGTCCCCTCTTGGCGGGGAGCCCAGGGGGGGCGTGAGAAGGCGGCGGGGCTTCTCTCCGACGACAGCGAGATCTGCTCAGAAGGCTCGAGGGCTCCAGATCAGGGTTAGGTCGGGACTGTCCCCCGACATGGGTATTCTGGACGAGAGACAACGAGTAGTCAGAAAATACTCCAAGAGAGTTCAAACATCGTGGAAAAGTTGCCCCCAGACTATTTCCCTACTATTTTTGAATGTTCCTCCTGTGGAGGGACACGCCCGACTTAAATATAAGGGAACAAGACATGGCAGAAACAACAACTTTCGGAGGTCCGCCCAGATTTCTCGGATTGGCACTGCGGCCCCCTCCCTGGCGTGCGGAGCGCGCCAGTGTGCGGCGACGGAGGCGTCGCAAGGGGGGCCCCAACGCCGACGCGAAACATCCGCGCGGACCTCCGAAAGTGCATGCTCATGCCATGGTTTGTTTCCCGATCTGAAAAGGCGGAGCCATGAGGAGGAGGAGGAGGAGGAGGAGGAGGAGGAGGAGGAGGCGGAGGAGGCCTGCCCCTCTCACTCCCCCCCTGGGCTCGTCGCCGACCCTCTTCCCGGCGCCAAAGAGGCGCCGCCAGGGGGAGCGAAGCGCCGGTCTAAGAAATCCGCGCGGTTCTCCGAGCTGCTGTGCTCGTGTCATCGTTCAGTTCTCCATGCGATTCTTTCCCGCGTTCACCGGCTGGGCGAAGCTCTCTATGAGAGGGGTCAGGCAGCAAACCATGGAAACCTTGTATATGCCTTCGTGTAGCTCCGTCTTTAGAGTGCGGTCAGCGTCGGTCAGCGTCTGGCAGTCGATGGGAATGTGCCGACCTAGACTCCGTTCCCTATCTCTCCCTTCCCCCACGGGCTCGCCGCCGACCCCCTTCGACGCCCGCAACCGCACGCCACCTTTGGTGGCCCCCAAACGTGGTGGTGAGAACACCCGGTGGTGAGTTTTGGGCGATTTGGGTTCTGGTTTTCGAGCGCTGGCTGGCCCAGGAAACGCAAAGCCTCGTGGCGACCACGTGTCCCCAACCCGGTGGTGACCCAGAGTTAATTTTTTGGGGAATCGGGGTCACCACCGGGTGTCTCACCACCTGGTTTGGAGACCACCAACACCTGCGAACAGCAGGCGCCCCGGCCCGCCGAAGGCACGCGCCCCGCGCGCGCGCCTCCCCCAGCGCCGTCCTGGCCGCGGGTGGCGGGCTGCTTCTCGGGGTCCGTGGACCTGGCCCCGGCGGGACGTGCGTAAGAGGTGAGAAAAGGGGGGGATGCTGCGAAGCCCCTTCGAGGGAGGGCGTGTGTCCAAGCTGCGGGGCTGGCCTCAAAGGATGCCTGTCTCGGTTTTCCCCCGCGGGGGCACAGGTGCGGGCGCGCCCGTACTCTGGAGGCCAACGCCTCCTCACAGACGTGGGGGGGGGGCCTGAGATCCGGGCGCTGCACTTCGCTCACCACGGGCGTCGTCGCCCTGCTTCTGGCCCCGGGGACCCCTCACAGACCGGTCGGGCTCAAGACAGGGCGCACAAAAGGGTGGGGCCGGGGCTCCGGCCGTGCTTTTTGCGCCGCGATGCTGCCGCTTTTGTTGGACGGGACGTCAGCTCGAAGGGGGGAGGGAGACAAGGACGAGGAGCGGTCCTCCTGTTTTTGGTGCAGTCGTCGTGCTACCATGGGGAGCGCCAAGTGAAAGAACGAGGGGGCTTTTGTGGCAACGGCGAATCTCGGCCAAGGACGGGTTCCCCGACCGGGATTCAAGGAACGGCTCGACACGAACCCAGGGCGGCTCTTACTTCAGCTCGATCCTATCGTGCTGAAGGGCGAAGTGCATCATGGCGGCAACTCGGCCTCGGGACCATTTTTTGCGCGCGTTCGGCTGGCGAACTTGATCTCGATACTTAGAGCAGCAATAGAACTCTCGATTGCACAAATCGGTTCAGCAGCCTCGAAAACTTTCATCTGCAACCTCGAGAGACCCGAGATCGACCCTCCACTCGAGCTACCTCCGGAAAAAAACAGCATCACTGTGCAATCGTGTGCTGCTCCGATAAACTGTTCTTGTTGACTAAGCCTCGAGACTCAGAGCGAATGATGTGAGAACTTGCCATCGGGCGAACGTCCATGTCCCGTGCATGTTTCGGTGTTATGCGTGCCTTTTTGTGTTGGGGATGCATCGACCTCGAGTCGGCGATACCTCGCCGATAGCTCGGCGATGGGCCCCCGATCGCGAATCCGCACCTTCCTGTGCAGGTTGGGGCTGTGGGGCCCCATATCGGCGATCAGTGGGCGATTGGGGGCCGATGCCTCCACCCCTGACTACCCACCAGACCACCCCAACCCAACCCGAAGACCCGAATTTCGGCTTGGGGGGGGGTAAGGGTTTCACACGTGTTTTTTCGATGTTCCCCGAACCCCCCCCCCACTGGAAATCGAGGGTAAACCTGAGCCTTCGGGTCGGGTTGGGGTGGTTTGGTGGGTGGTGACCCCCTATGCCTATTCCCCCCCTATGGTTGCCCCTGACGAGGGGCGGCCGCGGAGGAAGGAGGACGGGCGGCGCGCAGAGGCCGTCGAGAGAGGGCCTCGCGAGCAGCGCGGCCGGCCTCCCGCGAGCCGGCTGCGCGACGCGGGGAGGCAGCGAGAGGGGATGATGATGATGATGATGATGACACGCCCGTTGGAGGCGGAGACTCCCCGGTATCACAAGCTCTCAGGGGCAAGCCTCTCCAAGTCTGTCTCTGCAGCCGAGACTGCGCGAAAATTCGTCCGCTAAATTCCAAATGATTTTGGGATCCCGCGTCCCCGCCGGGTCAAACCGGGAAGTCCAGCCCGATTGGTCCCAGCGGTGGACCTTGCCCCGGCCTGTTCTGGGGGGGGAGGGGGGGGAGGAGTCGTTGCACCGGCCATGCAGACGTGCTGCAGCGGATCACGAGTGGGGGGGGGCACCACGCGGGGGCACTCCCTGCCGAGAGGCTTTTTCCTGATGGAAGGGATGCGCTGCTTGCTCTCTTGGCTCGCCTGCAAGAGCCCAGGAGTTCCCCGACATACAGTCGGGGCGATGACCTAAGGAACCCTAAATAAGGAACTAGGCCCCTTTTTTCCAGAAGTTGGTCTTCGATTTCCCATCGAAAACCTAAAAGAAAATCCAAGGCAAGCTGCGAAATACTCAAGGAACACGGAGCCCCTCCCCAATGAAAAGGGTTCCTTCTTCAGGGCCCCGACTATAAATCCAGGGCCTGTCAGCATTGCCCGTCGACTATCCTTGCTGTGTGCAAGCCTGCCCCGCCCGCTTGACGCTGAGTCTTTTGGCCCCCTCTCTGCAGGGGAGTCATCTGCCGCTCGTAAGTCTGTCCAGGTTCTCTGCTCGTTGGCCAACTTTCTCTGGGCGCCCAAACAACGACACTTGCTCTGACTGTGTTGCTATGTGTGTTGCGGCCTTGGGTCAGTCTGTGCCGGGGCCTTTGATTCATCCAGGCAGTGCCATCATGAGTATTCAGCAATGCGCTTACCTCATACCGTACTTGCTTCGCTGTCTTGCATTGCCTGTGCAAGCGGTGGTTCTTGCGGTATCCAACATTTCGCAGTCTCTCATTGACGTGTCAACATCTGCTCCGCTCGGGTCTCTCGCTGTGCGCCTACGCCCAAGGCAGATCAAGCTCGCTTGTTGCAGGTCGCCCCCCCAGCCGCTTTTCCGTTTCTGCCGCCTGGCCTCTTTCTACTTGCTCAACCGGGTGCTTTCCCATTTCGGGGGCGCGCAACCATGGATTAACGATTTATGGATTGGAGCGCGGTCGCCAACTCCATGGATCGGGGGAGGTGTCCTACCCAAAATGCGGCCAGTGCCACCTCGCTCGGTGGCGGAAATCATGGATTTCCCATGGAAACGGGACCCGTCGCTAATCCACGCCCCTTTAATCCATGTTTGCGGTTGCCTGAATTCCGTGGCCTTCGAGACCATGTCGGCAGCGGCGCAGTCTGCGAGTCACGAGATGGCTGCGTACTGTCTAGCAGCCCAGCGGGCCGTTCCACCTGTAGTCTCGCGCGCCATGTTGGCCAGCGACAGAGCTATCGGCGATCGGATTATCAAAAGGTGTTTGGCTTCGGGTCGGGCATGTCCTCCCACAGGCGGACTTTGGAGAAGTAAAGCATGTTCACAACATGCTCAAGAGATGCTCAAACAAGGGTAAACATCGTCCCCAAACCTTTGTGGGCCCCAGAAACGGCAGGGCCGTTTTTTCACCGTTTCAAAAAAATGTCCCTTGAAAATGGAATCGGCAAAAACACGGCGACCGGAAACGGCAAAAAAACGGCTCCAAGATTGGAGCCGGAGCCGGAACCGGTCAAAAAACGGCGACGGAACCGGTAACAAAAACGGCGTCGGAACTGGCAAAAAACCGGCAAAACGGAACCGGTAAAAAAACGGCCCTGTCGTTTCCAGGGCCCACTAAGCCCCAGACTATGTTTCGAACATGCTTTGAGATTCCCCCTGTAGAGGGACAGGCCCGACTTCACCCTCACCTGCTCCCGCCTGCCGAGGTCTCCCCACGGGCCCCACGACCATGATCCACCCCCTTCTGTGGCGCGTCGGCACCCTCTGGCGCGTCGGCACCCTGATGTGGCCCTCGTGTTGTGGGTCGGCGGAAGTCGAAGGACGGGCACGAAAAATGAAAAATCGTCAACAACACAAAATGTCCCAAAAATCTCAAAAACAGTAGAAACCACGCCCCCAGACTATGTTTTGACTATTTTTGGATGTTCCTCCTGCAGAGGGACACGCCCGACTTAATCCTAGTCGCCCTCCTTGCGGTTGCTGGCTCTTCCCCGCCAGAGGTCCGGGCCCTGATCACGAGATGCACGTCGCGAGCACTCGCTCTGGCTCTTTCCGCGTGCATCTTTTGGGGCGCTTGCCGCCACCTCCGCACGCCTCTTCAGGCACCGGTCGTGGAGGAGGAGGAGGAGGAAGAGGAGGAGGAGGAGGAGGAGGAGGAGGAGGAGGAGGAGGAGGAGGAGGAGGAGGAGGGAGGAGGAGGAGGAGGAGGAGGAGGAGGAGAAGGAGGAGGAGGGGAGGAGGAGGAGCAGGAGGAGGAAGATGAAGAGGAGGAGGAGGAGGAGGAGGAGGAGGAGGAACAGATGGAGGAGCAGGAAGAGGAGGAGGAGGAGGAAAAGAAGGAGGAGGAGGAGGAGGTGTCTCGCCTTTTCTTGCCCACTGTGTTTGTAGCTTCAGCCCTCGGCGCCTCTGCAGTCTGCCTCACGGGCCGTCGCCCACGTTTCCTCACCCTCTTGCGCTGCACTCAGGGAGCAGAGCCTCCACCCCCAGAAGGTCGGACCTTGGTTGGACAGGGCGCGCGAGAGGACACGAGACCCTCCCGAGGGCCACGTTGCCACAGGAATGCAGGAGGCATGGGTCGCGAGACTCAGGACACCAAGATACCCTTGATCTGGCAGGGTCGACCTACTAATCCGGGCCGACTGACATGATCACACCGACACGCGAAGCCGTTTAGCAAGCGGACCCAAAAAGACAATCAAACAGGGCAGGGCCGTTCAGCAAACGCCAGGGCCGTTTGGCAAACGCCAACTGTCGGGTCCAGGTGTTTTTTCCCTCCCTTGGGTACTGGCGGTGGCGCCAGCGGCAGCCCACTTGGCTCCCGCGCCGCCCGCCGTCGCACAGCGACGCACATGGCGAAGCCGCGCGTCGCAGCATCACCCCTCGCGACTTCGCTGTGCTCGCCCTACCCGCGCGTAGCCGCTTTAGCTCAGACGAGCGTTCACGTGAGTGAGCGGAATCCCGTGTAGAAGGGTGACAAATAATCCCCTTTACTCTCTTGATCTCCATCCCTGCCGATGCCCGAAGATGGTGACAATCCTGACGGGGCTGCCAAGAAGATGACGAGACCCAATCTGAAATTTGACGCGAGCTCCCGCTACGAACATCCCACGAACACTGGCCCGTCAAAATCCAGGACGGGTTCGTCAAATCATCGTCGGCAAGCACGAGTTCTAGCGCATCCGAGTCTTACGCTTCCCCGATTTTCTTCTCGATCCTCAACCCACGAGCCGTAGTCCTCTCGGCGGCGACGATGAGGGCGAATAGCCCAGGGGCGGGCATGACACGCATTCGCCCGGGGGCCTTGTCGAAGACATGGATCCTCGACGCCCCAAGGGATACATTGTATTGCTCTCCCCTGGGCTCTTCGCCCCCATCGTCGCCTCTGATCCTCGAGCCTCCATCCTCGA